GCAAGATGGACAAACCGTGTACTTCTACGTCAACGGCACCAACACGTATGACCCGAACTTTAACTACAACTAGGCCGTCCAGATTGGACCCCAGTGAGAGTTCGCCGAAATCCAGCGCTCCCCAGCGTTTATTGCTTACTTTGCAGAACTCCTTTGTTTTGGTTCAAGAAAAAAAATACAATGATATTTTGAGTTTGTTCTAAACGAACTAATGTGTTGGCAGTAAATATCTCCTACGAAAGAGCACACCACCTATATCACGCTGTGCGGCGAGGCAATAGATGACGATGACATTCAGCTTGTCCTAAAGTTTACCGTTGACGGCCGGTCAGCTCGTTCGCAATTGTTGCCCAGTAAACTCCACAAGCCAACAACTGTAGATCCACTTGAGAATCCAAGTTACTTGCATGAAGGACTTTACCGAACTTCACGTTAAGTTTTCTTTGACATTACAAGGACCACTTAGTGACTACAACTGGAATTGGAAAGGTTCTACTGTACCAGGATGACGAGTAGCTCAGCCAAAAGCGAGTTTGTCGCCGTAGAGATCTAGAGATAGATACTTGTGGATTAATGGCTCAATGCCACGATTCGCAAGTGCCACTGACTGACGAAACTCAGGTGAAATGCCAGTTTTGAACCTATCTGCAGGTAGAACCAGTACATGTACTTCAAAGTACATTAGTTGATAGGCAACTTGGCCAATAACGCCAAGATCTTTGTCACGGTCTGGATTAATTTGTATCACAAATTAAAATTGAAATTAACGCGTTTTTTTTTTTTTATTAGAAGGCCAACACTACGAAGCTCAAATTCTTTGTGCATGGCCTGCCAACTGAAATTCCACACCTTCACTGAGCTACATGTATTACCCATTTTTCTAATCGTTGGAGCAAGAGCACTCGCAGTTGCAAATCCAGAGTCGATGATGATCCACTTCGTTTATCCACAGAAAACGACCTGTTTATAGTACTGACTGCGGGAATGCCGCTGTGCCGACCTGGCCATTGCCGCACTTGGGCAACCAAATCAGGTTGCTTTCTGTGCTTAACATTGGATTCGCGCTGTCCGATCCAAGGTCACCTACGTCATTCACCACCAGCGATCCACGATCCTCATTCCTCAATTCACCTCCTTCCGAGTAAGCACTTCCACCGCTTCCACCGCTTCCACGTCTCCAGAATGGGCTCCTACCTCTCCATTGTCAACAACACCGACGACCCGTGGACCTGCAAGCTCGGACCTGATGAGGCAGCTCTCCAGATTGCCGGCATTGCCATCTCTGTCGTCGGAACTCTCGCCACTGTAATTGGCACAGCCGGTGCTGCCGCTCCTGTTGCCTCTGCTCTCGCTGCGAATGGAGTCGTCTCAGTATTTGGGGTATCAACAAGCGCGTTAGCGGCAGGTGCGACTGCTGCCGCCAGCGTCACCTCTGCAGTTGCGATCACTGGCTCGGTGTCTGGATTCGGTATTGCTGTAGCGCAAGGCATCAACGACCACCTCATCACGGATGGATACGTCAATATCGCACCTGGTGAGGAGCACAAGTGGGGCAAGATGAGCCTGTCGCTCTGGCAGCAAGGAACTTGTGTCCGCACCACGATCGTGGATGAAAAGACCGTCACGACGGACACGCTATACATGCGTCCGATCTTCAGTGGAGCCACGGACAACTCCAACATTGGCCACGAGATCCAGTTCTGGATCGACAAGTTTGGCCTTGAGACGAGCACCGTGACGGCTACGTCGGAACAGCAGAGCAAACACCACCACCACCACCACCATCGTCATCACCACAAGGAAGGAGGCCACCACCACCAGAAAGAAGAAGAGCAGCAAGATGGACAAACCGTTTACTTCTACGTCAACGGCACGAACACCTATGACCCGCACTTTAACTATAACTAGGCCGTCCGGTTGGATTCCAGTAGAGTTTACCGGAGTAGCGCGCATCAGCCTTTTATTGTTTACTTTGCTGAAACACTCCAGGTTGAGGATAATACAATGGACATCTTGATTTTGTACGCACCATCACACGCCAATTGCTTGAGTGGTACATATCTTCCAGTCGGCAATGATACTAAACAACCCGGAGTAGTTTATTCTGACAGTGTTGGCACCGTCACAAATAGGGTGGAGTTTAGTAGGAAAATCTACAAACACCTCTGCATGATGGTGGCCGCGGGAGATCATAGTACGATGAAGCTTCGTCGGCAAAATGTCTTGGCCAAAGAAAACGACACGAACGGTTGAAGTGATGCGTCTGCTAGTGATAAGCCGGGTTCAGCTCAGATACGTGAAAACTACAAGCCCAACGGCGATCACGTTGACGCTAGATATCCACGTAATGATACGAAAAGCACTAAGCATTGTTAGTCAGCGTGGACAGCGAGAAATACAGAATCAAGCCCTGAATTCTTGTACTAGTGGCTGGTACTTCTCGATCACCCTCGTAGCAGCGCATATAGGTTCACTGTGTGCGGTGAAAGAAGCCTAAATTGCAACGGCATCGACGTTGCTGTCGATTTTTGCCGGATTGTCGTGGCCGCCAAGCGGCACTCGAATTGGTCCAGAAAAAGGTCCTGCGGACACTTCAACGTTTGAGTTGTACATGTAGTTGCCTCCCACTCGTTCGTGTTTGGCGATTTCAATCACGATTCAGCTGGTGTTTGCATTCTCATCATGAGAGCCGATCACCGACTAATAGTCAATATTGCGGAGCTCGCTGGAGTACCTGCTCATCGAGTGTAAGTAAGGATGACGAAAACTCATACTTAAGTACTCGAGAGCGACTACCAAAATCGTCGTTGACCCAGCAGCTACAAATCATGCAACAAGAATCCACTGGACGCGACAAGTTCACTTCCAATGCTCGTGGCTGTTCCTCCAACGAGTCTCTTGTCCTGCTATCGGATCGGTATCTGCGCAACAGTAGATGAACCTATTTTACTCAACTATCAGCTACCAGCTAGGACAAGTTCTCCGGGTTTTCCAATCCCAGCTTCCTCATTCTTCAATTTGCCTTCACCTCAGCAACACAACAACAACCAACTCCACCATGGGCTCCTACCTCTCCATCGTCAACAACACCGAAGATCCGTGGACCTGCAAGATCGGCCCTGATGAGGCAGCACTCAAGATCGCCGGCATCGTCATCTCCGTCGTTGGCGCTGCAGCTGCCGTCATTGGAACGGCAGGCGCTGCTGCTCCGGTCGCCTCTGCTCTGGCAGCCAACGGAGTGGTGTCTGTATTCGGGGTGTCTACTAGTGCGCTTGCAGCAGGCGCTGGAGCAGCAGCCAGCGTGAGCTCTGCAGTTGCCGTTACTGGCACCGTCTCGGGATTCGGCATCGCCGTCGCTCAAGGCATCAACGACAACCTCATCACGGACGGATACGTTAGTATCGCTCCGGGTGAGAAGCACCAATGGGGAAAGATGAGTCTGTCGCTGTGGCAACAGGGAACCTGCGTCCGCACTACCATTGTCGATGAAAAGACCGTCACGACGGACACGCTATACATGCGTCCGATCTTCAGTGGCGCTACCGACAACTCGAACCTCGACCACGAGATCCAGTTCTGGATTGACAAGTTCGGTCTCGAGACGGAGACGGTGACTGGCACGACAGATCAGCAGAGTCGTCGCAGTCTACGCAAGAGCGGTGATGACGATGGACAAGTTGTCTACTTCTACGGCAACGGCACCAACACGTACGACCCCAACCAAGGCAACTAAGACGACAGTCCACCATTTGAGCTTGACTCAACATTTATGCTTTAAGTAGTTTCTGATTTCGAAAAAAAAACTTATCGGTGAAAAAAAAAATGTATTGCCGTTTATTAAATCAATGGTGCTGCTGCTACTGGATCATCCCAAGCTCTCGAATCAACTTGTACTGCTCTACAAATATAGACAATAAAACGTCAATGATAAGCACACGTAGATCAATGATCTGACTTTTGTAAAACGAAACGTACCGGGAATTTCCATCATTGCCATGATGGCAAAACCTGCCTCGGGGTTCTTCTTGTTCACTTGCATCACAGCATTGTATTCAACGAACTGGAAATTGTCAAAACGTCTGGTAGGCAGCTTGTCGTCGAACTCTTCCATCATATCCCATGGTCCGTCACCAACTCCGACCATGATAATTGCTATACGTTAGAATAAAAGTTAGAAAAGCACACAGATTTAAAACCCATTGACAACGTACAAATCGGCCAGTTCGACGCCTCCACGATCGCATTTCGCGTGTCTTCCTCGTTCGTCACTTGTCCATCAGCAATGATCACTAGGATGTGATAGCCTCCGCTCTTCTGGACCGCTCGAATGGTTTCTTTGATCACAGGAGCGAAGTTGGTTGGTCCCGACAGCTTCAACGTCGGTGTGATCTCATTGTAGCGTCTTAGAACCTCCTCGAACCCATGACAACCACGCCCTTGTGTGAATGGGAAGCAACTGTTCCCTTTTGTCGCTAAATCACCAAACCCGAAGGCAGGAATGATGTTGTCGTCGTCGAAAGCTTCGAGCACACGCCCGATCACCGAGATCACGCTCTAATTCAAAGAAAAAGTTAGCACGGCAACAACCTTTACCACAACAATGAATTATTTTATTGCATCGATACCTGGTACGGGTTCATGAAGACGCCAGACGGGTCGATCTCGTGCAAACATCTGCCACCAAAGCTTTTCTCTCCAGTCCACTGCAGCGACAGAGTGAGAATTTGAAGCTAAAAAGAAATACAATAATTGTAAATTCTTGCCTGATTGGACTTGGTAAAATCGACCTGCAACATAGCAACGTTAGCATTTCATTGCTAAATGTCGAAGGTGTTGCAACTTACTCCAACGACGAGATCCGACGACTCCAAGCCCGCCGCACTGTCAGACGCTATGTTAGACTGCTGCATTTGTCGTAATATACATGCATGTCACTCTACGCACCGCAGGTCTTGCTGTACTTCAGCTATAAATTGTAGTTAGGAGGCAAAGTACTTATAGAAGATGAGGAATGGAATAGAAGTGGGACTTGGACGAACCGAGTGTCTCGTAGCGATCAGGGATGGGGCGGAAGCTCGAGCGCTTGGACTGTGAAGCTGCTGGGATCGTTGATGACGCTGACGTTGACCCCGCCTCGCTGCTGCTGCCACAACCCATAGAGACTCGCCTTGACGCTCGTCTCAAGAATTCGCTACTGAACAAGTTTCAGTTGTGTGCAATTCCATGGGTTGATGGGTACAAGAAATACCGTTTTGACTCGCTTGGAGAATATTTTCTCCCCCAGATTGTTATATTTTTGGCAAAATCCGGCCAAAATCTTTTTTTAAAACAGTAAAATCTCAGATTCACATTTTTAAAAAACTTTTTTTTTTACAAATAGAGATTAACCCTTTAAGAAAACCAGAAAAGTTCCAAAATACAATGAGTCCCTTGCAAAAGCTATCGCAATAAGTTACGTGCAAACTACTTTCCGGCAAGATTCGGAGACCACGAAACAAACACCAAGAAATTCACGCCAGTCCAATATGATCGATCGTAACGGGCTCTGTCGTTCGATCAAGAAGCTTGTGGCTGTGACTTCTTTTCGGAAGAGCAAATCGTCCTCGATGGGCATGAAATCCCAGCCAGTCCCTCGCAGAACTACGAAGTCGAAGCCGTGGCGAAGATATACGTACCGTTCCACAGGTCACGGCACACATCGATATAATTTCCCCTCAAAGATTCGGGTGGTATGTTTCCTGCATCTTAGAGGGATGCGGAGCACTCGAAAGTAACTTCACTACGATAAGTATCGTCTCTCTCACGGCAAAAGTAGCGTCTCTGATTTGATTGCATCGAGCAGGTTAACTCCATCGTACAAGTGTAGAATCTACACTGTAGATTCGATCTGACCGTTCTCAAGTGATCGGACCGTCTCAATTTGAGATCCCGGGGGTTCGACCTCAATACTAGGCAAATTTATCAGATGGGGGCTCTGCCTCTCTTACCCTGCGCTGCAGGACAATGGGATAGCCCCAATTGTCGATCTCATTCCTCAATCTCCTTCGCAATGGTCAAGCTGTTCGTTTCCTTTGCAGTGGCCGCCTCTGTCGCCTTCAACTTGGTCTCCGCCGGGGTGACCCAAGTCCACTTGGGCGTGTCCAGCTCCGCCGTCAGCTGTGCCAACGGCATCGCTGTATCCTTCGCCACGGACGATGCTAAGTCGTATCCCGTTACCGCTACAGCGGACGGCTCGACCATCACGGCGGACAGTACCTTCGTCAACTACTCGGTGTCGGAGTCCGAGTACAACTACACGTACGCGTCGCCATACCTACACACAGCTCTACTGTGCGACCTATTGGAGACGACCAAGTACACGTACACCATCGGTGACTCGTTCACTAGCTCGTTCATATCGCTGTTGCACCCTGGCTCAGACTCTGAGGAGACCATCCTTGGCGTTATCGGAGACCCTGGAGACACCACTTCGTCCGAGACGACGTTCGCGGAACAGGCCAAGACGTTCGAGGGCAAACACATCCAAGCTCTTGTCATCGCTGGTGACTACTCGTACGCCAATGGGCAACACTTGCAATGGGACAACTGGTTCCGTGAGCAACAGAATCTTACGTCGATCTACCCGATCACGGGTATCAATGGTAACCACGAGACCATCACGTCGTCGGGCCATTTGAACATGTATCCGTACCCGGAAGATATGGAACTGGAGGCGGAGAACTACCTGGGCTACATCAAGCGAGTGTACACGCCGATTACTGACGACGCTAAGACTGCACTGCACACCTGGTATTCAGTGGACATTGGTCTTATCCACTGTGTGTTCCTGGACGACTACACTGGATCAAGAGGCACCAACACAACCTTGGTGGGCACGGCGGCGTGGCTGGCGGACCGTAACGCGCAGCTTGAGTGGGTAAAATCGGATCTGGAGAACGTGGACCGCAATGTCACCCCATGGGTGGTTGTCATCAAGCATAACCCATACTACAACACTTGGAGCAATCACCAGTGTCAGTGCTCGTCCACGATCTTCGAGATCGACGATACCGACGTCGAGAAGTGCTGGAATGGCACGTATTATTCGGGAACTGTGTACTCGGAGCCACAATGCGGTCAGATGGCCAAGTGGGAGGAGGTTTTCTCGGCTAACGGCGTGAACGCCATGATCACGGGCCACGTGCACGCGTACGAACGCACCGCCAAGATCTACAAGAACAAGGAGGACGCCACGAACGGTATTTACCACGTCACTACTGGATCTGGCGGTAACTATGAGGGTCACGCTGGTCCTCGTATCTCCTCGTCGCTGATCCCGAGTTGGTCGTTGGCATCCAACAACGTCACGTTCGGAGGCTCCCGTATCATCGCCACGCGCGAATCGTTCCGCTTCTTGTGGTTCGCTAACGACATCAGCACCGCTGAAGCTGTCCCCACTGATGGCTTCACTATCTTCGCCAACGGCTCGGACATCACGACGTGGCCGCAGACCAACGCAACCTCGTCGAACAGCACCGACTCCACTTCCTCGAACACGATAACGACTGCACCGGATACCGACATTGTCACCGAGGAACCAGAGGTGCAGGGTGGCCACTGCTAAGACGCAAACTGTGTTAACCCATCAATATGATTGAAGCGTGTTAGCTGCCACTATCCATTGCGTGAACTTTATCAACTTGTTCCTTGTTACGAAAATCCGTTCAGCGCTTGGAGCGACGGGTCATTTCAGAATTTCTCGTCATGGGTTGCGCTTCGAGTAGGGAGGCGTCCGCTGCAGGGCCGTACAAGAAGATGAAAGGCTTCCAACCCATTCCAGACCGCTACGAGACCATCGGTGGGCTATATCCTGATGTTTTCATGATTGCCAGACCTTTGACTTTTAAATCTGGTGCTTTGGCGAAATAGAGGAGGTGCAGAGCGACCTCAGGAAGGCAGGACTCGAGTCGTCCAATTTGATCCTGGGGGTGCGTAGATTCTAAAGATCCGTTGCCAAGTTTATTTGCCGTAAGCTCACAGTCTTTCATCTCTAGATCGATTTCACCGAGTCAAACACAGTAAGAAGGGGTGAAACTAGTAAATAGTAGATAGATAGAATGGCTTGAGTTGCTAACATCGTGCCGATGCTCAGTGGACGGGGAAGAAAAGTTTTGGTGGTCGCTGTCTACACTGCATCGATCCAACTGGAGCGATTCAGAATCCTTATCAAAGTGTCATCAGTGCCATTGGCCGCACACTCGAGGCTTTCGACGACGACAATATCATCCCAGCTTTTGGATTCGGAGATTCCACGACACTGGGCCAGCGCTGTTTCCCGTTTGCCCAAGGTCGCGGTTGTCAGGGCTTTGATGAAGTTCTCAAGCGATACAACGAAATTACCCCACACATTAAACTCTACGGTCCTACGAGCTTCGCCCCGGTGATACACGAGGCTATCAAGGCAGTGAAACAAGATCCAGGGTACCATATCCTGGTGATTATCGCTGACGGTCAAGTGAA